ATAATAAAAAAAAAACAAATATATGATATAAGAATTAATATTAAGTGTTTTTTAAATTCACTTAATATTATTTTTTTTACGTGATTATATGAATTTTTTTTAAAAATACTTCTATTAGTTACTTAACATAATTTTTAATTCAACTTTAATTACTTAATTAGAATTTTTTAATTAAAAATCATTATAAAACTCAAGAGTGGATAAAAAATAATAAAAAACCTAAATTCTAATATAAAAAATTAAAAAAAAAACAAAAAACAAAAAACAAAAAAGAAAAACTAGTTTACAATAGAGTTGAAATTCGGTACTGGTCAAGATTTATCGGCCGCCGCACTGTGCGACCTGAAACGGAAGCGAAAATAAAAAAACAAAGAAACAGAACGCTGAAGCGCTGAACACCTTCACAGGAGGAGAGGAAAGAGACCATGGACAGCAGCGCCGCCTTTGCAAGTCTCCAGCCAAACACCTTCCTGTGCCGCTCCCGCTTTTCCTCCTCCTCCTTCTCTCTTCTCCCTCCTTCCTCCATCTTCTCCTCTCACCGCCCACTCCTCTATCCTCTTCAATCTCTCAAGGTAAAGTCACTTTTCTTCCTAATTTCCTTCATTTCCCTCCATCGACAACATTTCTGTTTCGTTATTTGGTTTTTCTCTGCTTATTTTCAGCTGCAGAAGCAATTTGTCGCTCCTGCTTCCTTTAATGTCAATCCGGTGCCCTCTCCTTTCAAGACCGATGCCATACTTTCCGACGCTTACAGGTTTTCCTTCTTTCTTCATTAAACAACATTTGCTTCATTCATTCTGTTTTTCTCATGTTTTATTCGGAAGATATAATTGTTAAGTGTCTCTCATCTCTTCACCTTTGCGCTGTCTGCATCGTTTGACTCGACAAAACACCATTGTGATTCCGATCAGTTTCCCGATTTGTTTGTTATTTTTAATGAAATTGATTTCTTGACAACAGCACGGAAACGTCTGAATTGGCTGACATTGACTGGGACAACCTTGGATTTGCATTTCTCCCTACGGATTATATGTATATTATGAAATGTCCTCGAGGTGGAAGCTTTTCGGAAGGCGAATTACAACGTTTTGGGAATATTGAGATGAGTCCCTCAGCTGGGGTCTTAAACTATGGACAGGTTTGATATTCTCCTTTTATTTTTGAGTGCCTTACGTTATTGTTGTAATGTATCGAATTTTGTCCATTAAGAAATTGCAATTGTTTAATGGATATATTATCATTATTTTTGATAGCTTGGGAATTCTTTGATTTTAATTTAGTAGTGGGTAATGATCTTTTTCCTAGGAATTGTTTTTAGGCGTGGTGCTTTAAATTCTAAATTCTCATTGACGGGGCTGTATGAGAATCATCTCTTCCCTCTTGTAGTACAGACTCTTTTCATTTTAAAAGTTTTGTAACAAAAAGTCTTACCTCTGGTTATTTCTGCATGCGCATCTATATCATTGTGAGGTATGGAATAAGAATATATAAAGACAAAGTAGTGTTGTTGTTGTTTTTTTTTTTTTGCAAGATTCAGAGAATTTAAACCTAAACCAAAACAATAGATAGGGGAAAGTCTTTTTTCACTGAAGCTTAATGCTACTCATTCCACACTTGTACTGCAATCAAAGTTACCCTATTTTATTTTTACTGGGCTAAATGGAGGTTCTTGATGTGTCATGTGCTTGCATATAATTATAATGGCATTATATTATAATAATGCAGTAAAATTTGGCTCTAGGGCCTTGTTTAACTTTTCCTTGTATGAATTATTATCTATTTGCTTTTCCTTGAGTGTGGGTTTTTATTTTTCCCTACTTTTCTCACTTTTGTTCTCCATTTTTCTTTCTAGGGATTATTTGAAGGTCTAAAAGCCTACAAGAAAGAAGATGGTTGTATTCTTCTTTTCCGTCCTGAGGAGAATGCTATGCGGATGAGGTCAGGTGCTGAGCGGATGTGCATGCCATCACCCACAGTTGAACAATTTGTGGAAGCTGTAAAGAAAACTGTTTTGGCCAACAAACGTTGGGTAATAAACATCTTCAACTTTAAAATTATAGTTTGTCTTACTGATTGGCTATACTTCATTGAGTAGTGAATTTTTAATATGTCACTTCAGGTTCCTCCACCAGGTAAAGGCTCCTTATACATCAGGCCCTTGCTGATGGGGAGTGGAGCTGTTCTTGGCCTTGCACCTGCTCCAGAGTATACCTTTTTGATTTATGTTTCACCTGTTGGAAACTATTTTAAGGTTTGTTGATTCGTTTCCTCACCTTACAAGTTTAAGCATAAGCTTGAATTCCTTGAATTCCTTTTTGTTTTCTATCTAAGAAATAGGGGGAAATACTAACCAAAAAAAAAAAAAACAGTTTGTTCTGGTTCCATGTGAATCGATTATTTATGATAATTCTCTGCAACCTCTTAATCCCCCAGCCTGCCCCTTTCTCAACTTACATAGATAAGGGTTCATGATATGTTTCTGTTTATTTCTACTCAGATGTATTCTCATCTGTCTTAGGTTTGCTTTTGGTCATCTTTCTTGTTTCCTTGTTTTTCTTTCATAGTTTTGGTAAACTAGTGTATAAAGATGATTATTCATTTTACCAATTCTTTTTTTATTTATTTGTTTTATCTATCATATCTGATTCCAGGAAGGTGTAGCTCCAATTAACTTAATAGTTGAACATGAATTGCATCGGGCAACTCCTGGGGGAACTGGTGGTGTAAAGACTATTGGGAACTATGCTGCAGTAAGCTTGCACTCTAGTTTTTACTAAATTTTTTAATCCACTTTGTTCCAGACAGTTTGCTCTTCAAGTGGTTTTAACTGTGAATTTTTCTGCACTTTGTTGCTGTCATTTATTGCATGAAAATGGAGAAGTTTATTTAAAAATATAATTTTCATTTAATAATTTATTTTAAGAATAAAATATGGTTTAAAAAAAGGAGTTTTTGTTTGCCATTTCTTTAGTATAATACAAGGATTGTTTCTCTCCTCTTTTAGTATCCAGTTACAAAGAAGAAATATACAGTATTTATGTTTTTTTTTTTTGGTTTACTTAATAACTGAACAAAGTGCTATTCCATCTCTTTCTGGAGATCAGATAATATAACTTTTGTGATTCTATCTATGTGGGCTGATAGCGGGCACCAAAAGTCTAGAACCTGGGTACTGGCAGTGTATAGTATTATAATATGAATGGCATTAGAAATTGCTAACTGTCTGAACTAGAAAGCTGATGTATAAACTTTGAAACTGAAATTTGTATTGACCTAAAATTGTCTGTACTTATCTTTCAAATATCCATTTGAAGGTTCTGAAGGCACAATCTGCTGCAAAAGCCAAAGGATACTCTGATGTTCTCTATCTTGATTGTGTTCACAAAAAATATTTGGAGGAAGTTTCCTCCTGCAACATTTTCATTGTCAAGGTATTGTGATTAATGAGTCTGTTGGTACTTAGTATTTCTTTTATACTCGGCATGCCTTGTCACATGTTACTAATTATTTTATAGAATGAAGAATTATTGTTTATGACTTTCTTTTAAGCAGAATTCTCCATCTACCTCATCCTTTTTCTTTCTGCTTAGGAATCTTGTGCTCTGTTCATTTGACAATTAACTGCAAAGCTGCAACAATGCTTTCAGATTTCCAAACTTTAATAAAGCCATGTTTTTTGTCTCCCTTACCACTCATTTCATATCTTCAACTGGCTCAGCAGAAAACATACCTCCATTCAAATGGCAATAGAAACTCTTATTACAACTGGTACTGCTTCTCCAATGAGCAGGAACACTCTGTGATAGCAATTTGATTCACAAATAACTGATTCAGATATAGCTACTTTGCTGATTGTAATGTTATCTTTTGGCCTTTATTTATGAGTTAGAATTTTGGATAGTTATCCTTGCCATCATTTTTAAATAAAGTTCGGCAGCTCGTGTTTTTGTTCTCTTTCTTTTTTCTATTAGTGCTTTTTTTTTTTCTCTCTCTCTCTCTCTTTGATGAATGTGCCAGCCATCTTTTTCTTAGCTATTAATTTTTATAATTTTATTGTCCTTCATACTAACATCCCATATAGCCTGGTTTTTGGAGGGTCTTGCAAATCAACTGTTTGATGAAGCAGATTGCAGCTAATACTTTCTGCAGTTTTCTTGTTTCATACTCAATTTCCTGCATTCAAGCATTATTAGATGCAGTTTCAACTTGCATATTTTTGTTTACTTTCTGCTTCCAGGATAAGGTTATCTCCACTCCGGCTATAAAAGGGACAATCTTACCTGGCATCACCCGAAAGAGCATAATTGACGTTGCTCGAAGCGAAGGGTTCCAGGTATTTATTATGCAGCTTGAGGAGCTATTAATAAATTTGCATTGTCGTGAAATGCTAGTGTATTGTATTCTTTAAACATCTATGTATGAGAGCTGGCTGAGCTTGTGATGTTACAGCTGTAGACTTAAGTATACATTGTTTAAAAATTGCTGGTTCTGACTTTTGCCAAGGTTGTTGGGAGTAGCAATGTTATAGAATCTTATAACTTGCTCCAATGATGAAGTTTTTATTAATGTGTAACATGTTTAAACTCTTCTTGTTTACCCACATATGAAGGTGTCTATAACTTGTTGATTCAGAGTAGGAAGGGGTTTGTTTTAGTCTAGAGCTCCAACAGTGGCAGGGCTAGAAAATATTTAAGGGAGGGCAGATTGAAATTTTGACAAAAAAATGATGACTTTATGTATAAATTTGAAAAGTAAAAAAATATTTTAGTAAATAACATTTTTTAGTCTTGATAACCTAGTATAAACACTATTATTTGGAGGATATAAAATGAACATCTATTATGTAGAAGAATATATACTATGAACAAAGAAAGAGGAAGTAAAAAGATATTAATGAACAAACACTTTATAAAAAGATGATAATGAACAATTGTTATTAAATTAATTTTTACTTTTTCTCATATCTCATATTAGCTTTAATTTCCTAGTCATTCTCATCATCACCAAAAGTAATCTTCAATAATACAAACACTAGAAAATGATTAAAATGATATGAAATAATTAAGGATAAAAGAGATAAAAATAAAACATAAGGGACCAAACTAATTTTTTAAAAAAGTTAAGGGGGGCCTGTGCCCAGTCAATCTCCTCCTTGTCTCGAACTTAGTTCACATTTTGAACTACTGAGGATGTCTGGTATTTGCTTCCTGCCAAAGATATTCCAAAAGGTCATATATTTATTTATTGTGCAGTCTGTAAAACTTTTGTTATGTTATATTGTAAGAAATGACAGTTTGGGGTGAAATTTTAATCAACAATGTACATGTGTTTCAGTTTGTGAGTCTAATTTGGTTGCAAGAGGTTGGTGGGTTGATAGCTTAGTTTGCCATCTTCAGATTTCTGGAATACCTTACTTATCCTTCTATTGTCCTCCTTTAGTATATAGGTTGCCTGAACTGTCTAGATTTCACTCATAGGTTCCTGAGTTTATACTTCCCAGTGATCATCTGGTAATTAATGCAGGTTGAGGAGCGTCTTGTGACTGTAGATGAATTGCTTGATGCTGATGAAGTTTTTTGTACTGGAACAGCTGTTGTAATATCACCCGTGGGCAGTATTACCTATATGGGTAGAAGGTAAATTCTATGTGTTTCTAATGAATAAATTGTGACGAATTTCTGCCTCATCATGTTTCTTCTTTGTTGTTTATCCTCCATTTAGCTCCTCTTCTTGTTTCTTTTATTTATTTATTTATTTTGTGGGGGAAGGAGGGGTTGGCATATTTCGAGTTGATTGATAATATCCTAAATTATGATACAGTTATTTTATGTGGGGCCCATTATATTTAGCAAATGGAGCATAAACAATTCGATTATGGTACCTGATGAAGTTTGGTTTAATTATGGATGTGTCTTGTGGTTGTGGGTGGAATAAAGGAAAAAAAAAAAAACAGAAGAAATAGATTGTTGAACATTTGCCTTTGTTGATAACTGCACTGCCATGGATTTGCCTGATAAAAACTGTAATGATTTGATAGTTTGGAACCTAGTAGTTACCTGGCGACGGTGTTTCTGGACAGGTTGATAGTTGAAATGTTGGGGAAAAATATAGAATATAGCCTTGGGATTGGAGATTTGTCACAACTCGTCTGTGAAACACAATTCCGTCTACCATCACCATGAAATGTTATCTTCTCTTCCATACTTTATGACAGTAACTTAATTCTTTTCATTTTCTTTAATTGAAATCAAAATGCTAACATACATCTGTTGTTGCAGAAGGTAGTTTTACTTGCCTTAATCATGATCTCTGCTTTTTTTCAAAAATAATAATAATAAAATAAAAAAATTCTGTGGCCCACTTTACCAAACATGTGAGTGGGTTATCCCATGGTGATCTATGAACTAAATCCATTTTTCTTCATTTTTGCAGGGTTTCTTATGTAGAAGACGGGTTTGGGACGGTGGCACAACAGCTCTATTCTGTTCTTACCAGTCTACAAATGGGCCTCATAGAGGACAAGATGAATTGGACTGTTGAGCTGAGTTAGGAGGCAGCCATCCATCTTTCCCCCACATCTAGTTGTGTTCTTTTATGTTGGATTACCGTATAGTTTGAATAAGAAAAGATGATTCCCTTGCTTGCATTTCGATTTCTGCCAGGAGATCTCTTCATTCCATTTGTCATCGGATTTAATTTTCAGCCACCTTGTTTCCTTCCCACTAAAAGTTATACATGTAGATAGTTTTCTGTGGACAGTTTATACTTTCTCGGATCTGTTTTCACTTACCTTTCTGAAATGATGCTTGAATGGTTGGATATCTACCTAGTCATTGCTCGTGAAGACCTAATGGTGGCAGCCAATTATGGGTAGCCCAAATGGATATGGGTAATTGGGCTCATCCTGAAAAGGACACAAGAGAAAAACACTTAATACTCGTATTAAATGAATTGGGTAGGTACAAACCAAATCATGAAATTTATTTAGCTTGTGGAATCGGTCTGATTGAGATTTGAGATGCCATAAAATTATTAATTTATACAAACTTCATAAACACTCGGAAGGAAATCTCACCCAGGTCCTTGCACATAATTTTGTCTTTTGCATCTTGACCTTTTGCTTCATCTCCACTGGCAACACGAAACGCGTTGCCGACTTGCTTTTCAATGGATGGGAAAAGCTGGGCGGCAAAAAGTTTCAATTATAGATTTCTACTTTAAGGCGCGTTTCGTTGGGAAGGAAAATCCTTCACTAACTCCTTTTTTTTAGACTTATATGCGTTATTTTTACGTCTTTGTATTATAATAAAAAGATGAATAAAGTGATACTTATGACATTTATATTTCTAACATAATTTTTAACTAACAAACTTTTTTTCGTAGACTAAAAAAAAGTTTTTTCTCAATTTTTTTTAGATAAGACTTGTTTAATAATTTTTGGTATCAACTTTCTGTATATTTTTATACCAAATGTAAAAAAGTTAATAATCAATCAAAATTAAAACAAAACTTTTTAACAATATTTATCAACTTTCCAATGTATTGTTTTTTAACTTTTCATAAAATATTTTCTTAACTTTTTTTTTTTTGTAATAACTTTCCCAAGTAATGGTAACCTATAATCGAACTGCCTTTTTGCCCTAAAAGGGGATCAATGGACAATGGCGGTCAATCATGGGAGTTCTTCTTTCCTCCTTGGTGACAGTTCATGAGCTCACTTGAAAATCAGTTGTCAAGGACATGCTGCTTCAAGTATGCTTTGTGTGTTTGACATGTTCTTAATCAGATATGCATCCACAAAGTTAATTCGATTATTTTGATTTCCTTTGAACCATTCAAAAGTGAATTTAATCCCCTCCCCAAAAGAGGGCAACTTAAACGTTAAGGCAAAGGCTCAATGATAATGTCCGTTTTAAGATTCAAAAATCAGAATGAATTAATGATGTAGAATTTGGAAACAGAAATGTCATTTTTCCAATCTTAAAAAATCATTGCAGGATTGAAAACGATAAATATCTATAATAGTGTTTTTGTTTTCACATGTTCCATATTGATGTTTTTAAATGGAAGACAGATTGAAAAGATGTACTCAACTGCTACAAATTCAGATTAGGTATTTGTGGCGTGCTGCAGGGTGTAGTGGACTGTGTCTTCTGACTACCCTTCCTCTAGTGGTTGTTTCAATATCAACCAGATTGGGAAACAGTTAAGAAGCAAACAAAATAGGGTCCATTGGTGCAAACTCTTGGTTTCTTGTAGCTTCCAAAACACAGTTATAATATTATACCTCATAATGTTTAATACAGTGCAACATGATATCAAATAGGTAAGCAAATAATAAACTTCTTTCACTTAATGAGATGTATGATTCAGTATATATTCATTCATATAATATAATATTATGCATGTTCAAAAAAAAAAATAATATAATATTATATTATATAAAATATTATAATTACCATTAATAATTTCAAATTGAGCTTCGTATTCATTTCTAGTAGGAGATAAATTAATTTTTATGAGGAGTCGAATTCAAAGTGGGAAAGAAAAAGATATGCGTTGAACCGTTGACTAGGGAAATATCTATTAGGTATTCTAAAGTGATAAACTAGCTGTAACATCTAACATATAAAATGCAAGGGCATTGATTCAGGACATTCATTCTTTTAAGTTTTTAATTTATAAATAATAGTATTCTTGTTTCTAGATGTTTAGAATCTTTAAACACTTATTAATTGTTTGAGTTTCTAATGTAACCATCATTTTCGATCCAGATATGAATAGATTTTTAATTAATTTCCCTAAAAAATGATCAGATTTGAGTTTCAATTAATTGAGAACATCTTGGATGGAAAATAACCTCATGATGGGGATTAAGGTGTATACCATGATATAATTTGTGAAAGATTGATATTGATATACCTTCTAATTTAATATATTTGTTAATACAATTGGTTTAGTCATTATATTTTATGATTGAAATTTCTCATATTTTAAATTTAAATTTAAAAATAATAATTTCTTAAAATGAATATGTTATCTAACGTATCAATCATTATACTTTGTCAAAACATTCTCATGATTAATGTTTTTTTTTCCCCCTTTATTTTTATATGTTAAATCTCTTCTTTCACGTACAGCATGCCTAAACTTCTCGTTTAAGAATTACAATTTAACTTTAAATTATGATAATTAGAATTTTAAAAGAGAGGGAAAAAAAAAAAATTACTTCTACCAGAAGAGAAAATTATGCTCTAACATAAACAACAAAAGGAATTTCCCAAAGTGACCTGCTAGTGAACTAAGACTAAATGTCGTCATTATACCATCATTATGAGATTTGTTTCTTCACCTGAGCAGTTTATAAACTGGGTTTTTCCTTATCCTTACATTTTAGTATGTAATAGCTATGCTTATTCTAGAACATGTTTTTTATTTTTATTTTTATTTTATGTAGTCCACGCGAAGGCATGCATTTTCCTATCACATTTCTACTTATCTTTACTTTTCCAATATCCTCTTCTCGTAGTATTCTTTTTGAATTGGTCTGGAGGTTGGAAAGTGCCTTGAGAAAAAGAGATGTTCCAGTTCTGTCAAAAGGAGAACTTTTCTTTCAATTATTTAATTTAATAAGATCGCAAAATCAAAACAGTGCACAAATAAGAAAAATTGATTTGAGGTGCTTTTTTCCTGTGGCCTACCATGACCACCATTTTCCCCTTTATTGATTTGTATAATATGAAAAAAAAAAGTTGTGTATTTGTATTAAAAACCCAAACAGTAAAATATATATTTTTTATCTTAGTTATACAATAAAAAATAATCATTTTTCATTCATTATCTTACTCCATCCGCATATCATGCGACTCGAATTTAAAATATATTACTTTCAGTAGAAAGAGAAGACCAATAAATTATTTAAGTAGTTGACC